CAGCCTTTGTGTAAATTAAAACTCTGCTCGGATTATAAGCGGCACTTGCCAGCCGCCTACTTCCTCAAAATACAGGAGTGGGAGGGACAGAAAGCAGTAATTTCCAACAGAAGGCAAACAGTCCAACTGAACTTCCTATGATTTTCTTCGGACTGTACCCCAGTCTACCACATGAAGGCAACTGAGCACCACAAGAGACACCTGCAGAGGGGCTGCAGCTCAACAGTTGAACGCTTGTTCAGCCATCTTCATGCATTCTTCTCTTTTTATTCTGCACAACAGGTGCCTGCTAATTCTCTTGCATTAGTGTGCAGCTGTGCATATGCTAAACATGCAGTGCTGCAGCTGATCTGTCTGAACAAGTTATATCCTTCAGCTGCATTCCCGCCACAGGAGTCCCCTCACCAAGTCTCAGTTCTCCCCATCAAGTCATTTGTGGGAGCAGATGGGGGGATCATATGTGCTGAGGTAGGTTCTTGGAGGAAAGGCAGGTTGAAAAAGAGCAATTTTTCACACACACACACACACACACACACACACACACACACGGGGCGGGGGGAGAGAGTCAGCTCCAAAGCAGAGCTGTCATACCGACAGCCCACTTCAGCAGAGATTCAGCTACTAGGCTGTGTTGAAAATACATAAATGAACACATCTGGACCACTTTGGGTTCCACAGATGGCCACCCCTTTCCCCAGCCCACATTCTGTCCCCAGAGTGCAGGTAATTTTGCCCTGTTCTGTTCATTCCCCTTTAAACAGGACACAAAAGAACCATTAAAAGGTAGAGAAAGTAACAAAATTCGCTGATCAGGGAAATGAGATTCAAGAGGCAGAAAATGGATATGACCTCTCAGGTCCCACTGGAGGGAAGAAACAAGGTGTGGGGAGGTTTTGTCCAAATTAAGGGAAATGAAAAACAAAATGGACTTTTGTAGGCCTGTCTTTTTCTCCCCAATTCCTCCTTTGAATTGGCTGCTTGTTGTAGGACATTGCAGTCAAGAAATTTCTTTCCCCTGTTCAATGGTCACCTCTCACCCTAAGATACTCTTTTCCATCCTTCAGCTGCTGTACACCATTCCTTCTTCATTTAAGGGCTTATCTAAGACAAACTGAGGCTGAACTGTATTCAGTTCTTCCCTCTTCTGTTACCCCACTGTCCATATCACTCTCTGGTTTGATTTCTTTGTAAACACATGCCATGTTGTTTAATCATAATTAACATCCCTTAGTTTGCTGTTGCACTTGGCAACAGAGAAAAACTGCGAACAACCCATATGTACATTTTATGAGGGGTCTTCAAAAAGTTTCGGCACTTTTATATTTTCATTGGAAACAGTAATTGGTCATGTCTGAGAGTTTCATGCGCCTAGTTGTCTGGCAAGCCGGCTGCCCTTGCAGTTTACTGTAAGAGTTGTCACGCTGTGGTGAGGATGGCTGTGAAATTTATAAATTGCCCCAAAGAGGAACAGCATTCTGTTATACGCTTTTTGTGGGCAGAAGGTATTCCGGGAGCACAATTTCATCTCCACATGGGTGCTCAGTATGGGGATAAAGTTCTCTCTCGTAGAGTCATCTTTGAGTGGATTGAAATGTTCAGAAATGTCCGTACTCGTGTGACAGATGCAGAGCTTTAAGGAGAACAAGATTTTCATGTGATAATGATGTGAAAGCAACAGTGCATCAGTGGCTATGCACTCAACCAAAAACGTTTTTTTGCAGATGGCATTAAGAAGTTGGGACAACACTGGGAAAAATACATCGCAAATGAAGGTGACTACGTAGAAAAGTGATGTAATTTGTTTTTGAAGTTCTTGATAGTGTGTTAAAAAGTGCAGAAACTTTTTGAAGAGCCCTCATATATAATTATCTCCCCCCCAAACCCACTTCCCACTGCCTTCTTCAATTCACAGTGGAACAACAGCTAGGATAACTGGGGTGAGGAAGAACACTACTATCCATAGCCCACCTGCTTTCCTCTGGGGTTTCTTTGCCACTAGCAAGAGCCAGTAATCCTACTTAGAGAGCTGCAGCTGCCCCAGGCTAGGAAGACCAGCCCAGGAAGGAACTTCCATCAGTTCCTTGCAGTCACTTCTGAGTGGAGCACCATCCCTAAGGCTCACTATGGACAGTGACCACCTCCGAAGGAAGTAACATCACGAGGGATCCCACTTTCAGGAATGTTTCATCCTGAATCCTTGGTCAGGAGGATTTTGACAGGCTGGGTCTAAGGGGTTTTTAATGCATCTTGGCACAAGTGGGCAATCCCAGGCACCGCAGAGGAAGCAGTGAAGAGTTCACCAGCACCAGGTTTGTATAATGATCACAAATATCCCCATTTGTTCAAGGTGCTCAAGCAGGTAATGGCTGTGCAGCTCCAGGCTCTCTTGGAGGAGCAAAGTGCAGCAACACTTTGCTGGTTTCAGGCCCAGCAACCATGTTGGTCAGCTGACAGATGACACAGCATGCTTCCAGGTGAGGTTTTTATTGTGCAATTGCAATTGCCCCACATCAATCATGGAATCACACAAGGCATCTGGATGTGGTTTTTCATTTGTAGTCTCCTTTGTTTTCCCATGATTCCACCTTTTTTCTTAGCACAGAACATTCAAAGGAAGGAAAGACAGAATATGTGTATTATGTATTTTGGCTGGTAGTACTAGGATCTATTTTGAAGCACCCCAATGCTGGGAGAGATATAGGAGGAATACCAGTGTTTTTCCTGTATCTGAGACCATCTTCTGGTACCTTTGACCATGGTATCCTTCTCCACAGACCAGGCTGATTCAGGTTGCTACACTGGTGCTATGATCTGGAAGGCTGCTCCTACCTGGGTGACCCCATGGCCTTTATGTCATGGGGTTCTGCAGTTTCATCTTGTCCTCCATACAATATAGCAGCTATGTTGAACTTTGCAGTGAAGTCATATGCAGATTTGGAATTTGATGCTCTCAAGTCTAATCTTCATCCGATGTAGGTAAAACAGTGGAGATGCTCGGAGACAGCAACAGCCTGGAGGAGGGCCAGTAAACCAAAGCCCAGGCTGGGCATTACAGGGATAGTGAATGTGTGGCCTGGCCTTGTAGCAGTCAGTCTGTTCTGAATGGAGTTTAACTGCTCCTGAAAGATCAGGTTTGCGTATTGATTGGTGCAGTCTGACCAGTAGACTGTTCAAGTGACTTATAAGACAAATATGCCAGCAGCAATTCCTCTCAGGACAACAATGGCCTGGCCACATTTATCCATACCTTGGTAAGCATTTCCACCTTGGTAACCAAAGTTGCCCTTAGTGGCTGGAGATTCGCTTTTGATTGATGAATCAGGCTTGATTTGTGACTTTTTTCTGAAAAAGATACTTTTAGCTGGCCCAAAACTGGACTGGAACTTGAACAGCCCTGAGCTGAGCTGACAGATAGCTAACCCAGGTATTCTTTTTGTGAGTTGCTCTTGGCTATCCTGACTCCCACACTGCAACTGCTTACTAAACTGAAGCCAAGATAATCAAGTGTGCTGTTGAAAAATAGTTGTGTTCATAGCCCTGCAAGAAGCATTCCACAGCAGAAAATTGGCTCAACACATACTTATCTTTGCAATGATAACTAGTTTTAAACAAATACAATGGAGTTTTCAACCATTTTGGGCAAAACCTAGCAGAATACTGGCACTGACCATAGAAAAGGTATTTTTTAGATTGCAGATTTAGCTTGCCTAAGGTTAAGCATGAGAAAACCACACAGAATGCAAGCTTCTATTTTAACTATGATATTCACAAAAATAAGCCAGTATTCATAAAAGTAAACAGCTTCCCTGGTTATTGAATGAATGGGGGGGGGTCAATAGGTGAAGAGGGGAAGTCATTCTATCTGGATTCCAATTTTGGGGCATAATGGCATATAGACGTACTGACAGCCTAATACTTTTAGCCTTGCCAAATTTTCTTTAGCATAGAACATACTAACAGCTTTTTAGTCTTACCATTATCATCTTGTTTACCCCTCTGAATGACACAAAACTGATGGAAGTTGTCAGACCTTCAAGCTGATAATAAAAAAGCTATGCACAAGATGTGATGCATTGGTTGATTCAGTTAACAGGCTTTAAACCAAAATTTTAACAGGCTTAAAACCAAAAGAGAAAAAAAACATCAAGGGTCTGACAGTATCACTCCCGTGAATTTTGTCTGAATGCATATGGTAGATGACCAATAGTAAACTTAAAGCAATGGACAGAGCAATCCTATGGCCCTTAGATGGCATCTAAGCGTGCCTGCCCGCCAGCCAGCCAAAGATCTAGCATTCCATCACCAACATCCCTCCTCTCATAGCTGTGATGTCAGATACCACTAGTCAATTTTATAGCACTGCTTTTTGTCATTCAACCAGCCGTATTTCCTCCAAACTTCAGAAGCATAGAAATCATGTATCTTTGTTACATCTTGATGTTTTTATAGCGTTTCACAGTATTATTGCTGCCATTTGCAAATCTGGAGTACAACACATTGATAAGCATGAACGAGAATCCACTTGCCGTGTACTCTATCTGTATTCAAACTGTATTAACACGGACAGCTACCACTGCTCCAGGGGAGAGTCTTGTCCCAGATGTTGTCATTTACAGACTTTGCTAATGGCTATACCTGAAGTGGACCTGTGGCCAAAAACTCACTGAATTTTGGTTATAGAACAGCCAGAAGGGAGACATTTAATAGACATGTCAATACTGAAGGAAAAGGCTTAAAGTTTCCAACAAAAGCCACTGCATAACTATCACACTAAGTACATGGAGTAACCTCCCAGAATGTGTCTGATCCATCAAGCGTGGCATAAAGTAGTGGGTACAGGGGTTACAGCTCCCTGTGTGTGTCAAGAAGCCTTTTATTAAACATGTTTATTTTATACTCTCCATAGAAATTTACCACCAACCAACACACAAGGTGTTTTTCTGCTTTCAAGAAAGGAAGCAGCAAAATGGAAGCTTAACACTCAGTTCAAAACTATAAGCTCAGAAGGCAGGAATAAGTCTTTATTGTTTCAGGATTTCCTTTCTGTCTAATATGCTTTTTTGCCACAATATGTTTAACAAAGAAAGTTTTAACCATTTGTGACAGCAAACAAAGGCAAAAGCAGTAGGAATGGAATGTGCCCAGTTGCCCACATGTGTGGGGTAGAAGGTAAACAAAAAGGAAGTTGGGTTGTATATATAAGAGGAACACAATTCTCAGATTTAATTCAGAAGAGATAATTAAGGAGAACAGGGAAACCTGAAGCAAAGTACAACCAACAAAATATGAATAGGCACACTGCCAGAAAGGAGGCTAGGTCACAGTCCCTTTACAGAGATCTCTTGTTTCCATTTAGTCTTCAACAGAACTGAAAAATCACTGGTTTACCAGACCTCATCTCTGTGTAAAACATCACTTGATAAATTAAAAAATATCCTTTATTCCAATTTTTTTATGTCCACAATAGTTTTTTTTCCCCTATAAAAGTCTGCCCCCAGACAGTTCAGAAAGCCCATTTCATATATGTATTTTAAAACAGATGTGGTTAACACTACATTCTACTGAAAAGGCTTTTTTACACAGAGTAAAGAAATCCAATAATTTTGGTTAATTAAACCCAATTTTTCTTTAATCTGAAAATTATAATTCTCTGAAATTTACCAACTCAGTGGTTGAGACGTGGCTTTTGCAGGATATTTCTGTAACTGAATAACCCAGTTTTAATACTGTTCCAAAAATGTCAAGAAACAGAGCAAAACTGGAGTGCAGAATGACAAAAATATGAACACTAAAATATAGCTAAGGGCCATCTGAGCCAACTAATATTTCTGACTAACTGGATTAACCCTTTTGGGAGCAGTGATACAGCTCACAGAAAAGTCCCATGAACAATTTAGGTTCACAAATACTTAGAATTGTGCCTATGTATTTTTTCACAAAAATTGTATTGACATGAAGATATTTGGATTCCCAAAGCACTGTTAAATGTTTTCTCTTAGAAAATGTGCTGTGAACACATGGCTGAGATCTTTATTGCTGAAAATTCCAGTGGCTCCACTTATTAATTCTAAGTGGATACTTAAAACACCTGAATGTAGGATAGGGTGAAACACATAGATAGGATATAACACATAGAATAAGCAACAAAACACCCCTACTAATTTACCCATATCAGCTAAGTTGAAAATGGAAAGAAACAGGGAATCTTTCATGGCATGAAATGCATGTGGCTTGTTCTTTCTGAGGCCAAAGGCATTTTAGGTCCTCGAGAAGACCCTCTGGGGAACATAGCCCCTGCTGTAAGAAGTGATGCCTCAGTGCTTGGGCTTCATAGTCTTTAAAGTGTACCATACGATTTTAATCACTATCTAAGCTAATCTTTAGTCCACTCATTTCAGAGTTCTGAAGGCTCTGAAACTTACACTTTTACACGGCAGTACATAAACATGGCAGGTGATAAGGGTCTAGCCAACTGCAGGTTTTTCATACATTCTACTTAGACAACCCAGTCTTGGATAGATATAGCCATGCCTTTGGTTTTTCTTTGCTTTGTAAAGTCCAGAAGACTGGGCTAGTTTTTTTTTTTTTTTTAATTAAGCTTCATCTCAGCCATCAAAAGAAATGAAAGTATGCCTGGCCCATGCAGAATGGGTATTGTTCCTGCCTGAGCCACTGGATAAACGTGATTTGAAACTCCAGACCACATTATATATGTTCTCAGGGTGAAAAACTTCAAGTGAAGTAGGTGTATACACAGAGATAGAATACTGGGAAAATAATTTTTAAAAACTCCCATGTAGATTTTAGACACAAGCAGTTATGGTCTGAACCAGTTGGATCTTTCCCACAATACAGGATGATTAAGTGTTCTTGAAAATGGCCCTGGTTAACTCCGGAATCCAAAGATACCCTTGATGTATCCTGTAAGACCACTCTTTGCTTTCTGGTCCACTTTGTCCTCCAGGGGTGGGAAAGTGACATGGTTGAGAGCCAGGTCAAAGAACAAAGGCTTGCATGGTATTGGTTGGAATTCTGGAGGGAAATGCACCAGACTGGCTTGCTTGCTGACGAGAGAAGGATCCAGACAGAAAGTCTCGAACCGTTCAGAAAGTGGCTTGATAGAAAAGGAAGCAAACACTAAGATTAGTTCCCCTGAAATAACAGTGGGTACCTGATAACCTAGCCTAATGGCCAGGCAGCATTACACAGGGTTAGCAGACAGTTCAAATGCATGTCTATTTCCTTTTCCCTAAGCTCATAGGATTAATTCATGGATTAATTCAGAGGTGAAATGAGGAGAACTGGGAAGCCAGAAGCAAAGTATAACCAAAAAAAAATATGAATAGGGTCTCAGTCCCTTGTCATGTATCTGTTTCCATATAGTCTTCCACAGAACAGTTGTCCAAGGCAATGAGACAGATACAATAATCAGGGAGATCCCAGGTGAACTGCCATGAAAGCCTCAGAACCTTCTCCCAAAGCAATCCCAGAGATATCCCACCTCAATAGAAAAGCAGAACAGTTGGAAGTGTCAAACTCTATAATATATGTGCATATAAAAGAATGTAAACATCTCAAAACAAAACACATTTCCGACTCCACCTCTGCTCTTGGATTTTACACTTGTTTACTGAGTTTTCCCCCCCACTGAAAAGCAGTTGAATGGAAGGAAACTGCCTTTCATACCAGTCCACAGATTAGTATCACATGACTGGGGAATTCCCCAAATCTCCACTTAATTTTCCATTCCTCATAGTTTTCAAAGTAAGATAATGGAATTTAAGTAGGAGCAAACAACAACAACAACAACAACAATAATAATAAAAAATCTCCCCCCTACCCCTGATCCTGCCCTCACTGTTAGGCTTCCATGGCGCTTGAATTCCCTATGTATTGCTTCTCCACCCTGAATGATTCACACCATAAACTGCAAAAGTCTTCTATATACAAATCAGAAGAATTAAGCATTCTTGTTAGTATTTCTATGGTTAGCATAACTGAACTGCAACATAGACTGCAACATTAGAAAACAGAGTTCTTTCCTGATCATTCTGAATCATACAAAGCCATAATCCATATAATTAATGCACCAAAACATGGCTTACCTTGCCATCTTTGACCTGGGATGGGGACTCAGTCTCATGGTTGTCACCTGCATCTAAAAGTGTCACACAGATGCTTTAAGAAAATGCACCAATTAACAATGCAACAATCTCACTAGAATGAGGTGAATGGAAGGGCTGCTTCACACAGTGAACTGTATTTGTTAATGAATTCCAGATTACAAAACATGCAACTATAAAGTGCCTAAGGTATAGCCTTTCCCTTCAAAATACAGAGAAAAGGGTGGTTTCCAATTTATATATATGGCCACGCTTCGTTATTTATACAGTGCCACCAGAGTAAACTTTACAGAGTAACAAAAGACATGTCTGTGTACAGAAGAGCTTACATCTAGAATGTGACACACGGGAAGAATTTGAGGGACACATGCAACAGGAGTTCATTGCACTTATACATATTTAGGTTTTGCTATAGTACGGGATAAAGACTATGGAGTTTACCAAAAGAGTCATATAAAAGGTCCTTTTTAAAAAGATGGTCCCTCTTCTTTAGGGAAGAGAGCAAGAAGAGACTGAGTACATAGCACCAAAGACAGTCCATGTGTGGTACCATCTTGGTCTTTATGCTGCACACCTGGAACACAACAGGAAGAAGGAGCCCACCCACCTAGTATGGCAGCTGCTTGCAAGGAGTATTTTTCTGCATTCACTTGAGTAATCAGCTCTTGAACATCAGGCAGCTCCTAGACAATAGGAGAGAAATCCTATAAAGCACATGTTCCAGGTGCTAATGTAGTATATTTCTTAGCATGTTTCACCTAGCCCCTTTTTTTTCTCAAAAGACAGAGGATCGCACAGAATAGTTTTTCTTTCTGAACAGGAAATGAGCATTAATAAGCACAAACAAATGCACCCAATGATACTTATTACAGAACTCCCCTGCCCTGCATCAGCCAGTCACATTCATACAGTACATTTCCTGCAACACTAGAAAAGTTTCATGGGGCCAACTGAGTGACGTTGGGCCAGTCACAGACTCTCAGCCCAGCCTACCTCACAGGGTTATTACTGTGGAGATAAGATTGAGAGCAGCAGGAGGAGAATAATGTAAGCTGACTTAAGTTCTTTAAAAAAGAAAAAGGTAGGATAACAAACAAAAACAAATAACAGCCACATTAGTGTACCATGCCATCAGGTCTATAGAAATAGACTGTGCAAGAACTAAGGGCAGTGTTGCTGCTTGACAACTGAACAGCAGTTGAAGATGTGTGCACTCTGTTCCTCTGTGTCAAACTGTGTGTTTCATACCTTCAAGCAGTTTTTGCAAGTTCCAGCCTGGGCTTGGACCTCCTTGGCATATTTCAAAACACGATCATATAAAACAAGGGCTTCACTCCATTTCTTTACCAGAACATATGACTGTGCAATGAAAAAACACCTAGGGGGATAGGAAAACAACATGGGGTGGGTTCTTGTCAGGACTCAATCAATAGCAGCAGCAAGAGCGTCATACAGGTGCAACCCCTTTGGAACTTGTAACATACAGAGAGTACCATTTCATTCCTCCCCCTCAAAACTGTCTAAGGAGTAAGTGAACATGATGCCCTAAGATAGCTGGGTCAATGATATGATTACTGATTACAGCATGATTTCCACCCAGGATAAACATCACAGCAATTGGGAGACCAATCTAATGTCATACATCTGCCAGAGAAGGAATGGTTACAGCTTGCTGGACACTAAGTACTGGCACCTAAGCACTGCTTTTTCCTCCTCCCTCCCAATCCCTTTTCCTTTTGAGTTGTGTCTTTCAGAGTGTATGCCTGAGAGTAGAGGCTGTATTATTATTATTAATCTGTTAGCTGTTCTAGAAGCCTTTTTTGGAAGAAGATTGGATCAAAATGCTGTAAACAGATAAATCTTCTGTGAAAGCAGCTGGAAAGTTTCATACAGTGCTGAAATCACTATACAATTTGTCTGGTCCTTCTTAACTGTTCTGCAATCCGCTCAGTTCTCAGTTTAGCTGGATTGGATCCAGAGGTGCCTTTTGGCTAAGAAAACCTGTTCCATGCACAGAAACAGTTTCTGATTTATCAAAAGAGTGCCGTACAAGACAAGTGACTCAAAAGTCAAGTTTTAAAAATCTGTTTTCATAAAAGGTTCTGATGGAAAACATTTTATTGCCTTGTAGAATATTTAGCTTGTATCTTCCTTACTTGTGTATCTCACACCTCAATGAAACCTTGCCTTCTGTTAGTGCTTATGTAAGAGTTCATGAAACAGTGTTAATACAGTTTCTCCTTCCACAACTGGTTCTCTGGATCCAATCCACTGTACTAAAATATTAGCTGTGTGGACTGTTCTTTAGATTACACCCTTGTTCAAGGAACCTTGTTCTCTGCTCAAGAATTACCTGTAAGCCTTATATACCAATGTCTTTACTCCAATCTCCTTAAGGTAGTTTTTATCTTCTTCAAGGCCAGGAAGTTGTGGCAACTCTGCCAGATTCTTCAGAATGATGAAAATGAGAATTGAACACAAAAAGAAACAGATGTATGTAAACACTGCTGTGAACCATCCAAAGCTTCAGCTTTGGAGGCAGTAGCATAGGAATGAAATAGATAATCTAATCATCTAGCCACTCATATATAAAAGCACACTTTACTGAAATTAAACTTCACATTTTGTTATAACAATGATGCGCAAGTGAGAGTCACTTGTCCCTTCAGGAAGAGCTATCCATATATTAAGTAACTGGATACAGGAGCCATCAAAGCTGCACAGCATTACTCCCTTTTAAATACAGTTTCTTCTTCGAAGGTAACACCCTTTTCACTTGCTGTCCAGAGAATACCCTGCGATTATCAGAGCTATCCATGTGCCAACTGTAGTGAGTGTACTTACAGAAAAATTATTTTGTGTGTTTTAGTTACATTTAGTTTCTATGCAAAGAATCCACTTTTTTTTTGCAAGGCTTGATTCTTTAAATAATAAATGCTGGATATTTGGGTCGATGATGTGCTGGGGCAGATGGCGTGAGGGCTTGGCAGAAGCAACAAACACAGCCAGACTGTATTTCGCTATGAATGAACAGTACTAGGGTTCTGGACTGAAGCAGCACCCCTCTGAATGGAGAATTGTAATCTCCTACTCCCATACAATACATTAAGGTCTACTTCTAGATTTATAGTACTTGTGCTTTCCAATATTGACCTGCACCTCTTCTGAAAAAGGGATTAAGAAAATGGGCACCAGAGAACCTTTGTCATGAATACCTGCAAGATGATGTCGTAAAGGCGTATCAAGTCCTGAGGCCGAGGGGAGCGCTTCCCATCTTCCTCTGGCTGCTGCTGAAGCAGTGCCTTCTGCAAGGCTTTTGCCATACTCTCATTGCGCTTGATTGCAGTGGAGAGCTTGATGTAAGTCAGGTAACTACAAGGTATGATTTAGAGAGATGGTTTTGTTGAAAGCGATTCAAGATCATTTGGATGCATCAAAAGCAGCGAACAGGACAAGGCAGGTGGGGAAATGAGATAACTGTCTCACTTTCCTAGAATTTATGTGAAGAATTTGACTCTGGGATTCGAAGTACATGACATTTCTACTCTCCAGAAGAACTTACCTGTGCAGGTATTGAATATTAGTGACTTTCCCAGAATCGACTTCCAAAGAGTGATCCCGCTGCTTCTGTAGGGAAAAGAAAAAAGCAGCTGCATTTATTTGGGGAAAGATATATAAACAAATGAGAGATGCTGCAACATCTGACAAAGTATTTTCTTCCAAGCAGACTCAGATTTGTGAGCAAGTGCGCATAATACATGCACATACATTATGCTCACCTGATCTGGTTTCAGTTCTTCTCGAACAGCTTGTATGGCATCTCGACATTCACTCAGTAAGGACTCAAACAAGCGCTCTTTAGTTTCTTCTTCTTCTGCCTAAATAAAGACATAGAATAAAAAGATTCAAAATCACTGAGGCCACTGCTCGAGCCTTCTGCAACCAGAAAGAGGATGAACATTCACACAAACCATTGCAACTACTAATAGTATGACATATAGTCTCAAGGAAAATATTACTGAACTGTATGCAGCATGCAAAAAATGTGGACATCTGTTTCCATGGGTCACATCCCTGAGACTAGGCTCAGTGTCTATGCTCAAATCACTGCAAAAATTACTCTTTCTGAACCATTTGTAAAAATGTGTAACAGGTTATTTCTTGCTATGTTCCACCATCGATACCCTATGAACCCACCAACTGAAAAGCTGAATCTTCTCACTAATAGTATAATGGGGTAAATTGGGCAGGGAGAGCCTCTTCTGTGAGAGAAAACTGGCGATCCACAGACACACATGACTGGATAAAAAGAAGCATAAAGGATTCAAGCTCATTTCCTTACCTCAAAAAGCTGCACCTTCCTAAATTATGGTACTTACCCAAGTCTGTATTAAACCACCTGAAGTGCAGTCCCTATTCTTTTCTAACTGCTGACAGGAATGGTTTTTCCTCCTGTTTACAGCACAGGGCACCATCAGCTTGATCCCACTGGCAGCCTCCACAGAGAAAGGACACTTAAGAGGCACTGCCCAACTTGAATGTGAAATTTACCACTTTGCTTGCTTCGTTTTACTTGCAGCCACCCTAGGGAGACTTTCTGGGACCAGAAAACGTCACCTTTCCCAGGACCAGACCCCTGACTTTGCCCTCTCTCCAAGAGATTGTCTGCCACCTGCTAGAGACTGTATCAGTTCCTGCAGGCTGGAGCTGGCAGTCCAGCTGGTCCACAATGCCTCAGCTTGTCCGCTGACTGGGGCTGGTTGCAGGGAGCAAGCAAGCTCTTACTGCAATAGCTTTGCTGGCTACTGGTCTATTTCCAGCCAGAATTCGAAGTGCTGGTTATAAAGCCTTATATAGCTTGGACCAGGTGTCCTGAAAGCCCACCTTCCCCTATGAGTCTCCTCAGTCACTAAAATTCAAGGAACATTTGGTGATAACCTGAGAATAAGAGTGGTGGGTAGCAAGTGGGATGGCTGGCCTCCCATTGCTCCTGGATTAGCTGCTGAAATTTGGTGGCATGGCTGAGAGAAAAATAAGCTCCTTTGAAAAGCCAGAGGCATCTCTTTGCTTCCAGAATTTGGCAATGTCCTAGCAACAGGAAAAGGGGACTAATTTGGTTTTAAACAGTTCCCTTTTGCTGCCACCATGCTGCTGAATTATGGTAGAAAACAACAGCTTTCACCTTTTTAAAAGAGGCAATTTTCCTAGCTACTGCCATGCCAGATAGTAGGGGCATAGGTGTAGCCTACAGGGGGAATGTGGGTGGCTGCCCCAAATCCTGGAAGCTGCCCACTCCTGATTTATACTTTTCTTCCTCCTCACTTTTTTTGAACATCAAGGACTAGAATATAACTGTTATGGGCAGAGTGATTTGGAGATAAGCATAATCTCAGTGGATTCATTTGCTTAGAGTGTTTGTGGCTAGATTTTGGGATTGTGAGGCAATGTTACAGGCCAGGTTGGCCCTAGGGATCCTTTTGCTTTAGTGTAGAAAACATGGTTTGTGAATAGCATGGTCACACTGGACTCCTCCAGGCAATTATTCAGGATTTCCATTCGCTTGAGTAGTCCCTCAGGAGCAAATTCTAATTTGTGTCACAACAATAGTTTTAAGAGATGTTTGATGACAACTGTTGCATTTGCTCATCCTTCCAATGTTAGTTGGATTAATAAACTTCATTACTTTGCTCCTTATTCTTAAAATTAATACATTTTCTAGAACTTTGAACCACCAGAGAGACAGGCCCAACAAGTTCAGCAGCATTCTCAACAACACCTGTGGGAGCATTTCAACTCCAGACATGCAACAGGAAAGCCAACCAGAAGAGCGATGAAGCAACAAAAGACCAAAGAAATACATAATACAGCTTTAAGCCTCACCTTGTGGAAAAGGTGGAACTTAGTAACATTTTACATTATACGGTATATACTGTCATATTTTACCACTTCATGTTAAGTGTAACTGCACATAGATAAGCACAGTAACTGAAAAGACTTCAAAGAAACCTCAACAGTTACAGAACAAAATATCAACAATAAGGTACTTAACAGAATTGAGGTTATAATGGACTTGAACAGGATTAAGGATTTTATTAGCTAATTTAAAATACTGGAATCTGAAGCATTAGTGTTGTTTCACAATGGAATTTAATGTTTCCATTCTCTGCTTTCAGGATTTCATCAAATATTCTTTCTCCATAATGGTCTGCACCCGCAGGGCAATTTTTCAAATTGTTGTCACTCCAAAACAACTGTGAAAATGGAAAGTTTTTAAATCTGGCTTCAGTTTATAGGATTACTTTTGAAGCTATTTGCATAGATCATTTGTATTCCTTTTGGTAAAGGTTCCTAGCATAGTAATTCCTTCCATTTTCATTAAAATGATTGAACTACTATATCTGTTATTGACAGATTCTCCAGTAAAAAATACAGTAGGGATCCTCCAAGTCATGCTGTTTCCCAAAATATGACTAGAGACACTTTACCTTAAAAATATACAACTGTATTACTTATTTACAGTTTGGGGTTTGTTCTATAAAATCCTATTTCTTGGCTTATTCTGGTTAGATGCAATAGCAGTCAATGAATGTAATTCTAAAACATACATGTGGGAGAAACCTGCCACTACTACTCTGTGATGTGGGCTATCCCACCCTTTGAATTCTTTAAAAGAAAAAAATGAGATATAAATCCAATAAAATAAAATATACTCTGCATAACTTTGTGCAGATGTTTATGTTCAGTACATTACATTTAAAAGTGTAGTTTATTCAATTACAAATGAGTTTAAATGTTTTTCATTTTAACGATAAAATGCATATTTTATGTTAAGGTAGCAATGTGATTTTCAATCTGTAGAGTGGTTAAAAAATACTGGAGTCTTTCCCCACATCTATTTATTCCCAAAGCCCTTTTCTCCACAACTTCAAAATTTCCAGACATTTTACATTTCTATGGACTATACTCCCCATTGATCATATAGCTGTATTACATGACGTTTTCTCTGCTTATTCTCCCCTCATTTATTTTTAATCAGAGGGTAGCACACAGCTACTTAATCACACACAACACAGGGCCTTGATTACAGTAAATCACTACATAGCAGAGTGCAGAGATATTCTACTTACTTGAGCAATGGCTGCTTCAGTATCTGCCAGCCCCAACAGGAAGATCCTCACTTTGTCTATCTTCACTGGCACTGACCTTCCCCGCCATTCTACCTCACTCATAGTGGCGGCTTGCTTTGCTCGAGTTTGGGTGATGAGAGACTGCAATGTAAGAAGCTATTATTTAGACATTCGAAGATGTCATTTTCCATTATACTTTTCTCTCGTTCTGTGCAAGAACCATAATATAGCTGCAGAATGTGGCAGCTTGATTTTCAAAGTTGTGATAACTACACACATGCACGCATGCACGCACACACACCCAGTAGGACCCCTGTACCTGCTGACTGAATTACTATGGTTTCACTTAATTGCAGCCCTCCACATTAGTATGGGTTAGGGACACAGGATCCCTATGAAAGTGGGAAAACTGTGAATATGTCTAGATAAAAAGTACAAATATCTCTAGAGTCTTCACGCCTATTGAAAGACAAAACATGTGAGTGAAGCCGGCTAGTTTCGAGACAAAGAGCATGGCATCCCCAGAGTTCCTAGAGATATTCACAGTTTTTCCACTTTTGCAGGGGTCCTGCACCCCAACACTTGTGAATGTGGAGGGCCAACTGTAGAGTATATAGTGTTCACTATTATCCATGATTTCAGGTATCTTCTGGGTGGCTTGAAGCCAATCCCCCATGGATGCAGGGGTCCTACTCTGTGTATGTGGAGGGGAGGGAGGGGGGAACAGAGAGCACATTCCATCACATCCTTGGAAACAGCTCATAGTTCAAAATTGAAATATTTTAAGTATTTTTTATACACACACATATATGACACTAAATTTTGCATTGTGTTCTGGATTTCTTTTTAAATGTAAGTAGCACAGGAATTAAACAAACAAATGATGACCAGCAGCACTTCTTCCAAATATAAGAGGGTACAATCAATTACCTCTAGTTTTTCAGCAAGAAGTCCCTCTGTGCCCCCAGATCTCAACCTCATTTGCATTAGCTCACTAATAGCAGATTGGTCGCCTAGAAAACAAATGAAAGAATATAGTTTGAAGATGATCCAAGCACAACAGTTAATTTACATAAGAAAGTCTGAAGCAAAGTTTCAAAAAAATAGTTGATTGTTCTTGAAGATGGGAGCACAAAGTTAGTTTGTGTCATCAATATTTATAACTATCAGCAACTGATATGCCGTCACAATTAAGAACGGTTTGCAGTTGAAACAAGTCCCTATTCAGTCAAGGAGCTCACTGAGTGACTCCGGGCCAATCACAAATGCTCAGCACAAGTTACTTCATAGGGATGTTGTAGTGAGGATAAAATGGAGCTATATAAGCCACCCTGGGTTCCTCACAAGTGGAAAAACAGTGGGATATAAATGCAATGCAACTACTAGTACTACTTTAATTAAAAAGTTACACACTGCATTCAGTCACAAAAAGCTTCATCTGTGGTGGAAGACCAGAATGTGGGAAGCTCCTTTCTGTTAAAAGCTGTCTGTTATTCCCTTTGCTGAGAGAAAGATGACTTTTCCCATGGGAATAAAGCATCTGGGGTGGTGATTTTAGGCAGAAAAATACACTGGTGGGAAAGGGCCTAAGTAGCCTCATGTGAAGATGTAAAGTATCCATTACTTCACTATCTCCTTTCAGAGAGAATGAACTAGTGTAAATATTAACGCTACTAATCTTTCCTCTTTACTTACCAATATTATAGGCACAGTAACGGATATTGGGAGAAATCTCTTCAACTCGTTGATTATATAATATTGCCTGCTCCTCTGTAAAAGCACTAGCCAGCTTTTCATATATGGTTCTGCAGCAGAAAGGTAAAACATAATTAGCATTTTTACAACAGTGTATGCTGTGTCCCTCACTTTGTTTTGTGGGGGAGAAGTAAATGGAAGAATAATCACTGTTACAGTGTTGAGCAGTTTTTCGAAAACCCTTTTAACTGTATTATATGCTCAGCAGTACAACTGTTGAAGGCCAAACTTACTTGCATTTGTTAAAAGCCTCCATTGCTGCCTTCCATTCCTGGTGCTCAAAGCGGAGCATACCTGTGAGGTAAGCTGTATATGCCTAAAAGGAAGGAGGTGGAAGTGGATGCTTATCAGTGCAACAGTATAGTCTTCGTCTATCAATGTTAGGAAAGTAACCAGCAACTTGTTCGAATGACAGTTTCCCCCCCCACAAATTCCATGCAGCACAGATATGCTATGAGGACCTTTAAAGCAGGAGGTGGGCAGAGCAGTGTCACCTTTAACAGTTGCACAAAATGGCAGCTGACAGTAGTGCTCTCTAGCTAGCCACCTGACAAGAGCAACAATGGTTGCTCCTGTGAAGCATCTCTCTGGTTATGGCCTTTGTACCATGATGGGTTGTTGTCCAAACCCAAAAAACCATTGTGGTACACAGAAACAATAGAACAGACAGTTGTCTGTATTCATGGCTTCTAAAGACCAAGTCTACTCTCCATGGCAAGTACCATGGCAAGATTCAGATGAAACTACAAACCAGCAATGCTAAAAACCCTCCATGGCTTGTAATGGCGTGCAAACCCAAACATTCTGCGATTACTGAGCAAGCCCTATTTTCATTGGGTTGTTTTTTGGGGTTGGCAGGGCGGTCTCACCCCCTTAGTGATTTCAAAAATGTCAGGGTCATTCCCTCTCATTCCTCAGGAGTCCTTCTTGGCCACCAGTCCTGTCAACACTCACCCTCTCGCTTAAGACTGCTTTAGAGGGGAATAATGTCTTATCATCCATTATTTTGGAGGATATGGCATCAATCCAGAAGCTTGAGTAACAGGGAGATAATAATGTTACATGGAAACAGGAAGACTTTACCTTTTGGACAAGTATAAAGTGATGCATGTTGGGGCAAAAGGTCCCAACTTCAAGTATAAGCTGGTGGGAGCAGTGACTGGCCAAGAAAGATTCTAGGGATGTTGGGGACAGCTGGTTATCTGGACTGGCATTGTTGTAAAAAGTGAAACTGCTGTAAAAAGACAAGCTCCAGGCATAATTAGGGAAGGAAGTGAAATAAGACTGCTGATATCATGCTTCCCATATACGAATCTATGGTATGACCATACCTACAATTTTGTGCACAGTTCTGGTCAATGCATTTTAAAAAGATATTGCAATGTTGGAAACAATGCAGAAAAGAGCCACTAAAATGTTCAAGGAGCTGGACTGATGCCCCTTGGAGGACAGGTTACAACACCTGAAATTGTTTAACTTGGAAAAAGGGTGAGTAAGGGCTGACATGATAGAAATACAAAATTATGCATGGCACAGGGAAAGTAAAGCATTTCCCTCTCTCATATTACTAGGAACTGGGGTCATTCTATGAAGCTGACTGGTGGGACAGATAAAAGGAAATACTTCTTCACAAAGTGAATAGTTAATGAAAAGATGTAGCAAGGGCCACCAATCTGGATGGCTCAAATGACAAATTAATGGGAGATAAGGGAATCAGTGGCTGCTGGTCCTGGTAGCTCTATGCTACCTCCAGTGTCAGAGGCTGTACGCTTATGTACACCAGTTGCCAGGGAACATGAGAGGACAGTACCGTTCCACTCTTGTCCTCCTTGCAGTTTCCTGTGAGCAGCTGCCGAAGCACTAAGTGAACAGAATGCTGGATGAGAAGGACCCTTGATGAGACCCAGCATGGCTCTTCTTACATTCTTTAGGGTTATGCCCAGCTCAAGCTTTTTTTCTCATGGAAAGGCTGCTTGTCAGTGGGAGCTTTTGATCCCACAGTTTTTCAGATGGCTAAATAGGAAAAGAGGCAACCTTCACCTATTCCCAGTGTAGTGTCCCAAAAATCTGCACTAAAGGGTCAGGGGACTTTCTGGAGCACTGGGGGATTCTAGCAAAAGCAAACTGGCAAAAGTTGCCTCCCTGCCTTCTCACCAACCAACTCTGCTCAGTGATACTCCTACCAGCAGAATAGAACTCTGGCTTCAACTAAGCATGTGCCAGGTACTTGAACTGCTGAAATATTGTTAGGCTAAGTACTTCCCAAGCCCATCCTCTTAATATTTCGCATATCAACAACCCTTACAGGTCCATGTACATGCATAGAAGGTCTGCTACTTCACAGTGAGATTTATCTGTCCTCTGCTGTGTATGCATGGTGCATGACTGTAACTTCTTCAGTTGAACAAGGACTACGGGAAGACAAGGTGTCTTTCCAAACAGGTGGACCAGCCTGAAATATTCTATAGGCCAAACACAATCAGACCATACTAAGCTACAATCAGTTGTCTTTTTCCTTTCACTTTTTTTGTACTACCTCCTGCTACATTCTGTTCTGATTCAATAAAGCTATAGCTAGGGCTTAACAAGCATCAACTAGAAACATTCTGGACATTCCTGACCAGTCTTCACAAGAGGTTTGATACTATTTAGAATTCAGGTGCATTTGTTCAAAAGAGAAACATAAAGCTAGTTTATACTTTCTCCGCCTAACCTGAGCTTCCAGCTTAGTCTTGGCATCCACCCGATTGCTTTCACATAGGCGCTCCAGTTCCTCAGCATGTTTTACTGCTTTACGCAGACGAGATAACAGATGAAATCGTTTGCGAGGTTCCGTGTTGGCTTCCTGCTTCAGCTGCATAGCATAGCTCCAGGCTCTCTCAGCATCCATGAGAAGCAACAGTAAATATCTACATCATATGGTAGATAAGTAAGATTATCAATTCAAACATGAATTCCACACACACCTTCTTCCTTTATTTTACTTAAACAGTAAGTCTCACTGAACCAGAGGAAAAGATTAGTCTGCTTCTAGATGTTTAGGCCTTCTTCTAATCACGCATCCCACCTGAAAACCATAACCAGTCAAAATTATTCCAATTCCCTTTGCAAAACTTGATCATGTAAGGCAGCAACTTCGTTTATACTGAACCAATCATTTGCTTTACTGATAAAAGAACAATGCCAGAACTTTGTCTAAAATAACATTTTAGAACTAAACCTTTCAGATACTGTGTCCAAACAACAGCATCCTGATAGGAGATATATCTGTAAAGTCACAGCTAGAAAGTTTACAGTTCTATAAAGTTAAAGTTTCAGTTGTTGATCAGTAGAATGATTATATTATTGTTTTTTAGTTTCCACATTGATCTATTGAAGTTTTCGACAATTTTGCTGGGGAACAGTACATGCATTCTTGAAATAAACAACTAGTACTAAACCTGGAGATGGGACATGAGGGAGTAAGTCCTAAGCCCCATGGAGCTTAACCGCAGCTGCTCTTTTGGGCTGTGCCATTCACTGAATTTGCCAGCATCTACACTGCTCCTCAGCCTAGCAACAATCAGACCAGTGGAAGCAACAGTTTCCATGGTGCTCAGACATCTGGAATTGATTCATTCCTAAAAAAAAAAAAACCCCTCTTACCTGGAGGTATCCTAACCATTAACCTAAAAGATATTTCCCACAAATTCCCTTTGCCACTTACCTTTTACAAAAGGTATGCAGTTTAAACAAAACAGTAAAGCACCAAGCATATTTTGGGTAAAAAGCAGTTATTTTAACAAGACAATAAGGAAAACTATATTCTTCAGTCCCTGAATAAGGTGTTCACATTTGTTAGGCATTTTATTATGATTAGGATTAATTTTACTCTCATCAGCATATAAAATACAATATAACTATAAAATTTCATTAAAATTACAGTATAAAATTCAAAAGCCAAATTTAAGGTAAAATTTTAAAAACTACAAAAGTTTACATAAATTCAGTCACAAGACCTATTAAGGGGTCAATATAATGCCCCAACATAACTTAAAACTAATTAAATGTCCTGTCAGAGAAGATAATCTTAACTTGTTGCCAAAAATATATTAGTGCTGGCACCAGGCAGGTTCAGTGGGAAGCCTGTTTCATCATGGGGTGGCCATCACTGAAAAGACCTTCTCCTTGTTGCCACCAAACCTCCCTGTGGTCCTGATTATTAATCTGGCTGCTCTGTTTGCACAAACTGCAGTTTATAAACTTTCTTCATTCTTGCATGAACCTGTCCAAGAACTCATCAATATCCTTGAACTGTAATTCAAGAAAAGTTGACCAGGCTATGCTCTGGATATCTTACCTAATACAACTGCAGTAATACTGGGATCTAACTCCTAGTAGGTAAAACAGATTTTTTCCTGGAAATGCCTAGCAGATATATTGTAGCAGGCTTCAAATGGCTCTGAGCTTTCCATGGGGGCAACTCATAGTGGGACATAATGGAAGCAATGAGCCATTATGTCTCTGTTGCTCTCACTGCCTCCAAATGTACTTGAGTATAGACAGACACTTGATTGAATACACAACTGCATCAACTAACAGTCTTCCTCCATCTGCACTCAAGCCGTCTCCTGTTCTGTTTAACTGCTTTCAGCTCTGGGGTATACACAGAGCTGTATGAGCTCTACTACAGAGAGGGCACTCAGGAGTGATTATGTCAATCACTAGGTCCATATTTGACTAGGGATTTGACAGGACTGCCAGAACCTCTTCCCTCATGAGCCATCTGGAAACTATCTGGATCCATCAGTCTCTGAAGGCAGACCATCTTAACAGGTCATCACCCCTGCAGAGGGGAAGTCATCATCATAGTAGGCGGGGCAGTGATATGACCATGACAATAGGGCTGAGTCAAAGCCCTTACCTTCAGCTCACTATCCCATGCCTGGATGAATGCCCCCCTCCAAAAAAAGCAGTGTGCGCCTTGCTTATGTGCATCTGTCCCAAGGCTAGCTATTTATTATTACATTTAATCTTTAGATTTAAATTCAGTATATGTTTTCAGTACTATCTGAAAGCATTGACTTGGTTTGCATGTAACAACCAGAGCCAAGTGGCAAGTGCACTGTCTCCTGCTTCTGTTTCCAATCAACAACCCAGAAAAGCACATACATTCACTCATTCCCTTTTAGCCACAATTCCTAGATCCAGCAACTCAGAAATTATCATTACAGGCAAACTGGAGCTTCTTTCTTTCTTCTATTTGACACTGCCCCCTTTTTCTCTAGCTACATAGACGGGCCACACATCCTTTAAAGCTTGATGTTGAAGATAAAGGTAAATCTCTTCCTCTGTCTGAATGTCTAATGAGAAACTTAGGCTCAGATTTCCCAAGAGGCAAACTCCACATCTCTCTCTCCAACTTTGAGTTAAAGACAGGAGGTGGAGGCATGTGAGCTGGCTGTTTTCATGGCTGACATATTATCTGAACTAAGAGCTTTTGTCAGACAAGGAGCCAGAAACTTGTGCTGCTGCCTCCCTATTCCAGCTCAGAGCTAGAGATGGGAAGCAGAAGCTTGGCATAGCTCTGTATGAGTGCTTCACTAGTGAAGAGCCAAAACAAATCCCAGACTTCAGCTGGAATTTGAGGCTGGGGAGGGAGGGGTCTAGTCCTCTCTCCAGTATATTTTCAAGATCTGAAGGAAACCTCAGGCTTCTCTCACTGGCGAGGGCACATCTAACATCACGGAGATGCAGAATCTGGTTTCCTGCTAGATAGCAGGAAATATTCCCTCACTGTCAGAGCAGTATGACAATGGAACCAATTACCTAAGGAGGCTGTGGGCTCTCCCACACTGGAGGCATTCAAGATGCAGTTGGACAGCCATCCCAGTAGGATGGTGCAACTTGGTGCCCTGTACTAGCAGGGGACTGGATCTGATGCCCTTCTAGGCCCCTTCAAACTTTACCATTCTGTGATTCTATGATGGGGCATGCAAGATTACCAAACCCAGGATTTAACCATCTATGCTTGGATTAATTAGCTGCATGCATTACATTAAGTACAGCTGCTAAGTCTCCAATACCTGTTGTCAGATAACAGCTCTTCTGTTACTTTCTTTCCTGTGAACTTGTGCCTATTTCCCATCTTGAAGTTGAGAGTTTTTCTGAGTCTTCTTAGCCGGCGGGAACAATAACCTCTGAAGTGTGTGGGGAATCGCAAAAATTGTTAGCTGTTTCCCGGAATATAATTGCTCCCACTTGTATCTCCCCCACCCCCCAATCACATCAAAACATGGAGAGAAGTCTGTCCTAGGCAATTTTATCTTTGTTCTCCAAGCTGAGATGTGACAACATATGACTATCACTAAAGATTTCTAAGTATATCACTAAGTATAAGTTATGTTCAAAGTTGTTGACAGGCAAAAGACTAAAAACCTGACACTATGATACCAATTTATACATTAGGACAAAATGTGTTTTTATGATATTGTTAAGTGGAAGACAATGCCCATGGGCAACACTTTGATGGCTGGGAAATCTTGGCAACCCATAATATGTTAACTACAGATCTGAATTGTATCACAATGGAACTGTACCAGCAAAAGACTACACCTGCAGAACACTCATTTGGAGGGTTACGCAGGCTTGCTGAAAAGAAAAGAAAATTCCAGGCCATATTGATGGATGCTTCAGCCTACAGTGCTTTACTATGGGAAATATTTTGGAACCAATACTGACTAAACATGGCTTGGCTTCCTATTATTAGCAGAAAAGTGAAATTTCCTGTGCTTGGATTACATATTCTACAGTACTGAACAGGAAGTGCTCCAGCTGCTTTACACTGGTGCCTCAAGTAGTTTATGGAATGAATGTTTTATAGCACTCCACCTACAACCTGCCCTATCACAGTTCCAGATCTAGGCAAAGTGTCCCATTCAATGATTTTGTGTATTCCATGAAACTAGCATAAAGGCTATCTTTGAATATAATTTATATGTAACACTTATGTTAATGCAATCTTAGAACTGAGGAAAAAAATCAAAATAATACATTATTTGGGGAAATACCTTTTAAAGGTCCCAACATTAAAGGTGGCCTAGAAATAATTTTAAATAAATATATTACATGCTAAAAGACACCAAATTAGGTATAAAATTCTAACTCCAAGATTTTTCTTTAAAATTAAAGAAAATTATCTGCATAGTTTTAAAGAAAAATTAAAGCCTGTTCTTTCATACTGCTGAAAGAACGGCTGTAATTTGAATCCAATTAAATTAATAAAGGCAAAGACAATTATTATTGCCCAGCAACTAGCTCCTATGCATTGCTCCTTGCATACTAACCTGTATCTCTGAAAATCACCATGTCGTAGCCCATGTTGTTGTTGTGATTCCTTAACAATCTGAAGGACTAAAGGTCTTGTTAAGGAAACTTTAACTCAGTTTACCAGAGATATGGCATTAGTTATTTTTTAAAAAATCATTAGTACAACATATACGTTAACACTAAACTGGTTAAAACTGAGGAAAATCTTTAGTAAAGCCTTATGAAAATGGCCAAAGCAAAAGTAGGCTAAATAACAGATGTTTTTCTTGCATGCAGACAAATTCATATTCCTAACATCTGAAGAAGATGCACCAGGAAAAACATCAAGAGTTTTACATACCACCACAAGTAGAATTCAGTGGGTAGGCAATACAACTGTACATATCAGTGCTAGTTTACAATTCATGTTTTAACTCAAGGATTCTTGAAAAGTTATCTAGATTGTTCTGATGAAGATGTAGCCAGGTTCATTCACACTGGACTTACATTTACTAATACAAAGTCGAGGAGTATGTGAAAATTATGACTACTGAACTCAATCACAAATAGAAAGTGAATTTCCATTTGTTTTAAAGGAGGTCCCTAGTAAAATCTTTCTAATAGATTTAAAGGGAATATCCAACTGTGTCATTCCACCAGGACAAAATATATTGCGCATAGTTCAGAAAATAATTTCTGCTAGTGCAAGGAGAAATCCAACTAAAGTTCCACTTGCGAAACTGCTTTCAGCTGGCCGTGTGCTCCATTAGTGTAGTCTGTTAATGCAATGTGCAAGCTCTTGCATAACTGTGAAGCTGGCCTAGCACTCTTGACTTTGAATGCCATTACTGATTTTGGCCTGAAAGTCTTCTCCCATGGAACCTTTAACTCAACTGTTATGCCCTCACCTTCCTCAAAGGCTGGTAGTTGTGAGGATAAAATGGAGAAAAGGAAACCCTTGCAAGCTGCAAGAGAAAGAAAAGTGGGCTATACATGTAATGTAATAATTTCATCATAATTTCCCTTTTCATGTACAGACTTCTGCACGGTTTTTCCGCAATGGTGTACTTCTGGTTCATTCCACAAACTAGATTTTAGATGCAAAATTTGAACACTAGATTCAGACCACAATCCATGCTGCTTTTGAGGAAGAGGAAAGGGCAGGTTTTCCTAAATATTCCCGAAGTTGCTAGATCCCAAACTTTGGTCATAGATTTCTATTTCATGCAACTGAATGCAAGAAGAAAGTGACAACCCGAACGCCTCTGATTACACGTGTGGTATAAGGGAAATAATAAACGCTCTGCATTCCCGGGCACTTCAGTGCTTATAAGTGAACTGCCCCGCCACTGGCTAATTCAGCCAGGGCCACCCTTCCTTCCACGCTCCTCACCTTGGAAGCCAGCCAGAACCTCCCTCCCTGAGGCTACAACTCCAAATACAGGAAAATGGGGGAATTAAAGAAAGGTATGTGATGGCAGGAAAGACAAAGGCCTGGGGCTTCCGCAGCTGGGAGACTGGGGCAGCATGGAAAGCTCCCCTGCTAGCTTAAGTGACACGTCCCCACTAACACTTCCAGCCCGGTCACGCCAGCAGGATACTCTCCAGGCCGAGGCTATCCCCCAGGTCACCCGACGTCGGCTTTTCATTCTCCTTGTTCTCCTCGGGGCCCGCCGCTGAACTGCCGGCGCTGCTACCACCAGCTCCTCCACGGCCGCCACTGCTGCCCCCGCCGCCGCTCCCGGTCACTTGCCGCTCAGCCGCCATCTTGCGCTCGTTCCGCTTGCAGCGCAAAGCATCATGGGGCGGAACAGAGGAGCTGCCTAGAGCGCCACACGCGGAAGCCATGGCCGCTGAGGCTAACGGGATAGCGGCAGCCGTTCCGGACGGCCGGGTTGTGGGGCGGGCGGAAATAGGCACCTCGGCGCCAAAGGGGCTTAAGGGCTATTTGGTTTCTTGCAGCGGTGTGACTTTAGCCGGAGAAGCCGCTCGTTCATCCGCATTTAGGCAGAAGGAATGGGGCAGTGTGGAAAGGCTGGAGTTCTGGAAGGCTGCATGTTAAGCACACATATTGGGGCGTTAAGTTGTAAACAGGAGAGCAGATACTGCCTCATTATTAGTCCTTGTGAGCTATTCTGTAAGCCTTTTGGTTTGAAGAGCCGAATAAAAGTATACCGAAAAGAAGTAGAAAGGTCAAGTGAACTCTGCAGGACTAACTTCTAAATAAGCACGCTTAAACTGGTTTCAAGACATTGCTAGGCATTTGAAAGATTTAGGGCCCAGGTACACAGGACATAAATCTGCACATGCTAATTTATACCAGTTTATGCAAAGCTAGAAGTAAAAACTAGGATTATTTGAATTTCACAGGAGACAAAGCCAGCTATTTTATTTGTCATCCAAATTATCTCAAAATAAATTGTTCCATTAATTTGCATCCAGCTCATCCCAGGCCAATGGAAAAAGGTTTATTTCCCCGCCCCCCCCCCGCCCCCCAAAGCTTAATACTGGGTGAAGCCAGAAAAGAATGGTCCAGAATAGCCATTTTATGTAGTTATTTATTTAAATGCCAAAAACAATGGCATGTGTTGGAAACGGAAATTATCATGAACCCCTAATACTCAGGACCCATCAAGAATAGAGAAGCTGGCACAAATAAGGCATGAAACCTTCACGGAAACCAAATACTGATACCTGTTCTAGGCACAGGTACATATTCCAGAAAATGGCTTGGAACCCCAACACTTCCAAATCGTGTGAAGCCAAACCAACCAAACTCGCCATTTATAAATAACAAGGTGGGAGAGATGCAGTCAGCTTTAGAAACCATGTTCTGGCCAGACCATAATTCAGAAAATGGCTCCAGGATGTAATTTTCAAAAATAACACTAGTGACTTTGCTTTTGTATCTAATTTGTAGTAAAGACACATATAATGCACAATGGGAATACAGTATAATGTTTTAATGAATTAAATGTTATTAATGTTAATTAGCATATAGCAATGTACTCTAGCAATATAACAGTGTAAAATTGTTGAAAGATGTATAACCCCAGCAACAAAGAATATACTCTAGTGGCTCTCATCTCTTAAAGAGTATACATTTTGCCAGGCCTGTGGTAAATGCAAGCTGTTCTGCTGATTCTACTTGTAAATGGATATATTTTCATTTCTCTTATTTTCTTTCATGTACTGTTTTGAACATAAAATTGTAAGCCATCCACAGGGCCACTTTGGGCTAAAAGTTGGCATATCAATTTAAAATCAGTCAACCTGTTCAGCAGATACCCTGGCAGCATTCAGGCATTAGTGACATGGGCCATCTATATTGGATGGGTTGTGTAGTTGCAAAAGTGACTTCAGCGAACCAACAACAATGTGATGTGGCTGCAAAAAAGGCAAATGCTATTTTAGGCTGCATTGATAGAAGTATCACTTCCAAATCAAGCAAAGTCCTAGTTCTCCTTTACTCAGCACTGGTGAGGCCTCTTCTGGAGTACTATGTCCAGTAATGGACACCACAATTTAAGAAAGATGCGGACAAGCTGGAAAGGTTTCAGAGGAGGGCAACAAGGATTATCCTAGCACTGGAAGCAAAGCCCTTTGAGGAGAGATTGAAAGAAATGGGCATCTTTAGCCTGGAGAATTGAAGATGGAGGGGAGATATGATAGCACTTTTCAAATGCTTGAAAGGCTGTCACAGAGTGAAAGGCCAGGATCTCTTCTGAACCATCCGAGAGCAGAATAATGGGCTCAAGTTACAGGAAGCCAGATTCCAGCTAGATATCAGGAAAAATTTCCTGACAGAGCAGTACGGATATGGAAACAACCACCTAGAGCAGTGATGGTGAACCTTTTAGAGACCGAGTGCCCAAACTGCAACCCAAAACCCACTTATTTATCGCAAAGTGCGAACACTACAATAAAACTTAAAAACTGAGGGTTTAGTTTAGAAAAAACAACTCACAGCCAGTCTAACCAAATATATATATATATCCTTGGCAGTGCACTGACCGGCCATGCAAAAGCTCAGACGAGTCGCAGCTAATGAGTCGTGGCTCGTGACATCATTGCCTGGAGCCTCTACTCCTTTCTGAGCATGCACATGGACCCTATGTATGCTGTTATCCAATGCTCAGCTGCTGGGGTGATGCTGGGGTTATTTGGCTCACGTGCTGACAGAGAGGGCTCTGCGTGCCTGCTGTGGCACGCATGCCACAGGTTCACCGCCACTGACCTAGGGTGGTTTTGGGCTTTCCCACACTGGAGGCATTCAAGGTGCAGCTGGAGAGCCATCTGAGAGGGATTGCTGAGAGTTGAGTGAGGGGATTGAACTTGAAGGCTTTACAGGCCCCTTCTGACTTTACTGTTCTACCATCAGGTTCATCAGGATTTTATCGGTTCATTCAGGCTTCCAAGGCAGATTTTATTCAAATTATTAGTATTGTTTGTTCTTTATATAGCACTGTCTTTGTGCAGGGTAAGGACACTGTTGAGGTTGCAGGACAAAGCCAAACCAAGCTGGCTCAGCCCCTTTCCCTCTTCCATTCAGGGTTTCCCAAAGTGGTGCCCTCAAGCACCACATTTGCAGGCATTTCCAGTGGTGCCTGTATAGCTCATCACTTCCTGTCCCTTAAAAAAACAGTTTTAATAAAGCATTGAAAAGTGTTCAGGTGCCAGGTTCACCCTTTGTTCCTGAACCTGCTGCTGATCAGTGGGAAGGAAAAAAAGCAAAGAGGTAGAAGAGCAAGAACTAGAAATTTTAGAGTGTGGAGAAAAGAGAAGTAAAGAGCTGGAAGGATGACAAATAGGCTACATGATGGGAGCAGAGAGAAACAGCAAGATAAATTGATAAGTGGGAGATAAAGGGCAAATTTAGGAGCAAGGGAGAGAAAGAAGATGGCTAGGGATAGGGAAGTTAGAGAAATAATGAGGAAAACGGTTTAGGGAGAGAAATAGGCTAGAGGCTGGGAGAGGGAAAGTAAAGAGGAATTTCTGTGGACAGGAGATTGACTGAGTCTGGAAGCAACTCTTCCATTTCCCCCTCCCTCTAAGCCTCTAGGCTCTCGACAAACCAGACTTCCATGACACCCGTTACGTGACTAACCACATGGGAGCCATTTTGCCCATGACAGTTTTTCAAATTCTCAAATATGCTCATTATTCGAAAAAAATTGGGAACTCCTGCTGCAGTATAAAGGGGACTGAGCCAGCCTGGCTTCTCTTCAGCTGGGCTTGCTTTACTTGGAAAGGCTGGGCAAAATAAAGCAATCCCCTTCATGCTCTGCCTTGGTCCATGCAAGCTGTCTGCAGCAGGGAAAGCATGCCCACACTAAGGCCTCCCTGGCCAAGGCACCAGATGGGGGATTATTCTTCCAGCTGCTGTTGCAGCCAGAGAAGTACTTGGTAGAATCATCAGCTGAGAGGGGCTTATAAGGCCATCAAGTCCAGCCCCCTGTGCGACGTAGGGCTGCAAGGTGGACTGCAACCATCTGCCCTCCCTGTTGAATGGGGAATTCTGCAGGGTGGGTTAGGCACTTTGAGGCTGTTTCAAACGCTTCCTGGAAAAGTGATTTTTAAACAAAGATTTTAAATGAAATATGGGCAGTGGTCAAGGGAAGCATTCTGGGAAGCATTTTAGGAAGCACTCTAGAGAAACAGTTGCAGGAATAATATAAATACCAGGATATAATTAATTTATTGAGAGCCAATTGGCTAGGGGCATGTGCTCTACACATTTTTGAGTTACACAGAACTCTCTATCTTCCAACAGATGAAAAGACTTGACTTCTCAAAAACGTTTGCCATGCTGTGTGCACCATTCTTTCTACAGTGACTCATGTCACCCTACTCATATATTTCTCATAGCCCTCTTTACATGAACTTCTGACTCCAATGTTTAAGAGTTTCTCCGAACTCTTCAAATAAATGAGATTTAGTGTGTGTTATCATTATTATTATTGGATAAAAGAAATTCATGGTAAAATAAACACTTCATAATAATTGATGTCCAGTCATTCCTGAGAAGTCACCAATTACTACTGCAGCAGAAACAGCCAAGATCTTTATCAAATCAATGTTTCTGGACATGCATACCAATGTGCTCTAGTCATCCCATACATATTAGTTCGCATCAGGCAAATTCACCTTGACAGCAAGAACCAAGAAATCAGAGTGGTCACATTCCTCAGAACAACAACAATAATATTGCTGATGCTCTTTAGATGCCTAACTGCTCAGAGCAAGTGGTTTTTGGAACCATGATACCGTCTATGAAAGTGGCACAGACATTTTAAAGCACAATCCATTGTGTGAGTTTTTTGTTGTCTCTGATTTTTTTTGAATGCAAAGCAATGCAATGCTGTGCATAATTACCTAGGGTTAAATGCCATTGAACATAGTGGGATGTACTTTCATGTAAATATGCATAGGGCTGGGGTGTTAGTATTAGTGAGTTATAGATTTCATTAAAAGTTTAGTAAGACAAAAGGAGCATCACACGATTGCAGGATGTTTAACTATGGCTAAACAAACCAACTTCAGAACCATGGTCTGTAGTTGGCTAGTTTGAAAGTAAGAGAGTGATGCTAGGCTCCCTAGATATTGGGCACATTTGCAGATCACAATAACTCATCCTGGCAATAAGCTAAGGATGCAAATAAACCACGAGGTATCCAACAGACGATCAGGCATGCTCTGGGTTTACTTCCCCTTCCCCTTCGTCCTTGCTGTCTCAGGGAATCTGGCAACTGAAGCCAGCTCGGTACTTTCCTTGCTTTGAT